GTCGACTGTCACATACTGATGGTCAGCAGACACACTGACTGTTAGTCACGACCATTATGTACTGACAGTCAGCACATCTACAGATTGTTCTATGGATAGTGGTCCTGGAACGTTCTTTTCCTAGGCAAACAGATGGTTGAGTAATTAACTTAGGAACTTTGCTTCGGTACAGATTGTGTCTTTTGTCCCAGAGCATGCACATTTTAACCATTAATTTGTGAGAGACTAGGGGAGTGGTGCATTTTAGCAAAATGGAGTCGCTTTGGTCTCACACAGCCACTTGAACTTACTCACCCTTTCATAGGCCCTGTGTCACATTCTCAGGTGCTGGGTGTTAGAGAGTCACTAAAAGGATTTTGAGGGAACACAATTTGGTCCATAACAGATCCTATATTTGCTATCAGATCCACAAAATTTAAAAGTCTGAGGATGCCAAGTATTGGTATGTGTGGCCCAGATGAAAATTTGTGGTTGTCCTACCATGGGATGAACTCACCACTGAGAATTTGGTTGAGCTTGAATACTGATGAAGCTCACACATAAAGAAGACATGAACGCCACCTGCCTTGAAAGCGCAAGGTTCCGAGTTTGAGCCCTGATACTGAAAACAAAAACAAAGAAGACATGAAGCCAGTCACACACCTGTAATGCTAGCACTCAGGAGGCTGAGGAAGGAGGGTCACAATGAGTTTTAGGCTAGCCCGGGCTACACAACAAGACCCTGTCTCAAAAAAAAAAGTAGGAAGAATCTGATTATTTAGTGATGAGGCTTTCTGGGGTGAGTAGGGCAGGTTTCCCCCCTGGTAAGAAATGGCCTGAGAAGCTGGGCATGGTAGTATACAGCTGTAATTCCAGTACTATGGGAGGTCAAGGCAAGAAGATCACAAATTCAAGCCCAGCCTGGGCAATTTAGTGAGATCCTGTCTCAAAAAAAGCCAAGTGTGGTGGCACACACCCATAATCCTCCCTACTTGGGAGGCTGAGGCAGGAGGATCACCCCAAGTTTGAGGGCAGCCTGGGCTACATAGTGAGCTCAAGGCTATGTAGTAAGACCTTGTCTCAAAAATACAAGCAGGGGGTCTGGGGCTTTAGCTCAGTGGTTCCGCCGCCTGCCTCAAAAGCTCAAGGTCCTAAGTTCCATCCCCAGTACAAAAAAGTAGAAGGAGAAGAAAAAGAAGAAAAGAAAAAAGGGGACAGAGATGTACTGAACACTCTGGGTTGAATCCCCAACCTCAAAATAAAATAGAAAATGGCCAGAGTGATAAAGGGCTTTTATTGTGGTGAGGGGATGAGGTTGGAGTAAAGGTTCCTCCTAAGTGGCCAGTGGCCAGGGCTTTCCAGATTTAAATATCTCTCCAGAGAGAGACAGGGACAGAGACAGAAAGAGAGACCTAGCTTGTCCAGATGTGGACAAAGGGGAAGAGGGATGCACAGAACTTCAAAACTGTCAGCCATCAGACATCAAAAATGGAGTCAGACTCATTATAGGAAGCAAATGAAAACCTGCTCTTGGGAAATCAGTTTGATGATGTTAAATAAAGCTGAAGCACCTAGGCTCTGTGGTGGACAAAAGTGACCACAAACCCTTTGTCCCTCCCCTCACTGAGAGGTGGCATCAAATCTTCTCCACACCCCACACCGATCCAGCCAGATAGCTCAGGCACCAGACGCAGTGGGGAGAAGCCTTCCATTGACTTCAGCCCCAGCCACCATTTACCTGCAGTTTCTGAAATCCCAGCAGCAATAACCATCCAGAAGAACCTAGCCCATCTGCAAGAGAGACAGAGAGATGAACTATTGTGTAGCTCAGTGGTGGAGCACTTGCCTAGCATGCATGAGGCCTGGATTCCATCCCCAGCACAACAAACAAACATCAGTTGTCTTAAGCCTCTAAGTTGTGGGGTGGCTACTGGCTGTGCCATCTTGCCTGGCACAGTCCCACCTTATCTGGACATATAGCAGCCTCTTCAGGGCTTCCTGGGTGGCCAGAACTCAGGTACAGCAGGAAGGTTGGAGGCCAGGACTCCTGGTTTCAAAGAAGCCTGGGGACCAGATCCAAATGTCCAAAGAGTGCCTGGGCCTGGGAGCCAGGCCAGCTGGGATAAAAAATCTGCATGTGCCCACAGACAAAGGGCTTTGCCTCTCTGAGCTGGTTTCCTCATCTGTGAATGGTGTGACCTCATAGGGATGCCCAGGGGATAAAAACAATGCAATGTGTAGTTGAGTCACTTCTGTGACCCTGGGAAAGATCACCAGCCAGGATTAAGTGTGATAATTCACCCTATTAATCTTTACACTCCTAGAAGCTAGGAAATGTTATCATCCCCATTTTACAGATGAGGAAACTGAGGGCTGCAGAGATTAATTAGCTGAATAGCACAGGCACACATATCTGTAAGGAGCCAAACTGGAATTTGGACTGAAGCCACATGATGCCAGCACCCATGAACCAAGCTCCTCTCCTTTATTGTTTTACAGGGTTAGTCCCTGGCTTGTAGGCCTATACCTCCTCCCACTTGCTAGGAAGATTATGAGCCTCTTAGGAGAAGGGCCTTAGCCACATCATCTTCTGGGTGGGAGCGGGTCAGGGTAGACATGCTGAGTATGGTATGGTGAAGCCTGGGTGATTCTGGCACTTGGAGGGCACTCTCAACTTATGTTTGCCAAGGAGTCAGTGGCAGGGGAACCTGAAGTGCCTCTAGCCTTTCTAGACAAGGTAGCACTGATCGTCTCCAGCTCCCCTCGAAAAGCATTGGTACCCCCTACTTTCTGCTGGCAGGAAGCCTTCCTGGCCCAGGAACCAAAGAGTCCCAGGCCCTGAAGGAGTCCTTGCAGCTCTTTTCCCACAAGCCAGAAGTCCCAGCTCCCACCCACTCCTGTTTTTCTAAGTCCTAGCACCCAGGCTGCCAGCTCCCAAAGAGTCAGGAGCCCAGGCCCCAGCCAGAGGTATGCAAACCTGTCTGATACTGATTGGCTAAAGCTAATTATGGGGCCAGGAATGTAGCTGTGGTAGAGCACTTGCTTAACATGTGTGAGGCCCTTGATTTGATCCCCTAGTTCCATAAAAGCAAAACAAACAAACAAACAAAAATAAAACAAACCAAACAAAAAACAAGGGAAAAGCAAGCTAGGGAGCCAGGTGCAGTGACACATGCCTGTGATCCCAGCTACTCTGAAAGTTGAAGCAGAAGGCTCACAAGTTTGAGGCTACCCTGGGCAATTCAGTGAGACCCGTCTCAAAATAAAATTTAAAGGCCGGGGATTTAGCTCAGTGGTTCCACCACTTGCCTTGCAAGCACAAGGACCCGAGTTCGATCCCCAGTACCAAAAAAAAAAAAAATTTAAAAATAGGGCTGTGAATGTAGCTCAGTGGTAGAGTGCTTGCCTAGCATGTGCAAGGCCCTGAGTTTGATCCCCAGCACAGAAAATACATAATTAAAGTAAGCCTGACTATACTCTGTCAGTAGTTTGAAATCAGCCAGGAGTAAGTATTTTTCACCACAGAAATTGGTGCATACAGAAGTCAGGGCTTTTCTTCTCCCCAGGGAGCCTCCTTTTATCTACTCAGCCACACACAACTCTCCCTCTCCCCAAGTCCCCCATGTGTCTGCCTTCCAGACCAGGAGAGCCCATCTGTCTAAGGCCCAGGGGCTCTGGAGTCTGAAGTCATGATAAGCCTCAAGGCCTGAGTAGGCACCACTGAGTGCCTAAGCTACACTGGGGCCAGTCCCTGGTCTTCTGCCCTGGATCCTCACCCTCCATACCAAGGACCCCAGCCCCAGCTGGAGCATGGGGCCAGCTCTACCCAAGGCAGCAACCAAAAGCACCAAGTTTGGATCTTCGAATAGTTGAGTGTGTCTACAGGCAAGCCACCTTAGCTGTTTGGGCTTTAGTGCAAATCTCTGCACCATGACAATCAGGAAAGACCATGACCCTAAGGTAATATTTCCAGTGTCCACAGGACCTCAAGCAAGATAGGTGACCTTGGTGAGCCTCAGGTTGCTCTTGTGTGAAATGGAGCATTAGTTATCCTTCTTCATTGGAATGTCAGGAAAGTAAACAAATTATGCCCATAAAAGAACTGACTTAGCAGAAGGCATAACATGTTAGGTTGGTTGTTGTTTTCATTGTTAATAATTTCCTATCCCAAGGCAAGCATGATGGTGCATGCCTGTAATCCTAGCACTCAGGAGGCTGAAGCAGGAGGATCACCCTAAGTTAGGGGCCAGCCTAGGGCTACATTGTGAGTTCAAGGCCAACTTGATTTTTTTTGTTTTGTTTTGTTGGTACCAGGGATTCAACTGAGGACCTTGCTCTTTCAAGGCAGGTGAGGCACCACTGAGCTAAATCCCCAGCCCATGGCCAACTTGAACTACATATCAAGATCCTGTCCCATAAAACCAACCCCTCCAGAAAAGAAAAACATTTTTTAAAAGGGCTAGGGTAAGTGAAATAAACCAGAAGGTTAAATATTACATGGTTTCTCTTACGTGAGAAACACAAAGTATAAATAATTTAAAGAGTAAAATAAAAGATAGATGACAAGACACAGAGAAGTAGGCCTTTTGGAGATGGGGAAGGGATCTATGGATGGATGACGATGGGAGAGGGGAGGAAAAGAAGTAAAATGGATTAAAATGTGATATACTGTATATATGTACCAACTCCCCACAATATATGTATTCAATATGAATCACAAACGAATGTAGCTCAGTGTGAAGGCCCTGGGTTCAATCCCTAAACACATACACACACACACACACACACACACACACACACACACAAACACACGGCAGTCTTGAGGGAAAAGGAAAAGAGTTTATATCGATTTCAGTGTAGGATCACACACAGTAGGTGCTCAGTTAATGCAGTCAATTTCAACAGCAGCAGCAGCAAGATGGATTAGTGCCTCTGAGAAGGTGGAGGTGACTTTCCTTTAACCCCGCTTGGCCTTTCCGGGCCAACAGGAGGCGCCCGGCCCCTCCCGCGGCACCGCCCCCTCACCTGTGTGGACCGAACACCTGGCGCCGCCTCCGGAAGAGGGGACTGGGGACCGCGGGGACCTCGGAGGCAGCCGGCGGCGGCGGGTGAGAACCTGGGGGCGCCAAGGGCGGGGCCCTCCGGGTTCGGGCCGGACTGTCGGCGGGGAGGATGAGGGTTAGCCAGACAGGGCCGGATGCCTGGCACCGCGGGGCAGCCGGGACATGGACAGGAAGGAAGGTGGTGGCTGGGCTTCGGCCATCTGGCTTCGGAAAGACCCCCGGGTGCGGCTTAGGGGCGGCGGCCCTGGGACCACCGTGGCACACCTGGCTCTGCGCCGACGCCCCGCTTCGACAGCTGGCGGGGGGGTGGGTGGGGCAGGACAGGTGCGCGCGCTCCCGCGTGCCGGGGGCGGGGGCGGGGACCTCCCGGGGGGGGGCGGGGTCATTGTGCCTGGGTGCGGTGGGTCCTTCCTCTCCAGCCCGGGGCCCCCAGCACCCCTGATCCTGCGCGGCCCTGGGGACCCAGGGCTCCCGTCCCAGGGGCGGGCCGGGAAGTAAACAGAAACTCGCGGCGGCGGCGGCGGCGGCATTGTTGGGCCGGCCGGCACAACCTGTTACCTCGCCCTGCCTGGGCCTGCTGCCAGGCCCTGGGAAGTGAGGGTCTTCAGGTGACAGCTCTGAGTCCTGATGGCTGAGGTCAGGAATCCCTGGGTCCTGGAAAAGATGGGAGGATGGGGCTGGGAATCCAGGAAGAATGGACACTAGGGGTGGGACCATCAAGTCTGGTGTTCAAAGCCCCTGGGAAACTAGAAGAAAGGGCAAGGGGCTGGGGCTCTGGGATTCTGGGAGGGGAAGAAGCTGTATTCTTGGGGGCAAAGGGGTCGGAACACCTATGTTCCCAAGTGGGAGTGTCCTGCGTTCTTGGGAGAAGGAGCTGGACTTATCCCTGAGGGCCAGGTCGATGCCAGCCTGGGTTCTGGCAGTCCGGGCCCAGATGGTGAGGAGCTCTGAGCTCTGCAAATGGGGCAGGGACCACTAGGGCTATGGTTGTGATCCCAGAGTACTGGGCCAAAGTATCCTGGGACAGAAGCGGAAAGCAAGGCATCTCATTTCCTTCTGCTCCCTGCCTCAGTCTACCCTGAGGACATTAGCGGAGTTGGGTGGCCAAAACAGACCATTAACCCCTCCTGTCCCAGGGAGGCCCTGGTTGCCAGACTGGGATGACCAGGTGTGGGTGAGCAGAGGGGAGCCCTTGAGCCTGTAGCAACCTGTTCCTACAGATGCTGCAGGTGCCATGAGCTCCCCTGAAGGGCCGAGCTTCCCCACGGGACCACTCTCAGGGGGCACCTCCCCCAGCATCGACGAGGGCTTCTTCCCCTTTGTGTTGGAACGTCGAGATTCATTCCTGGGAGTGGGCCCGGGGCCTGAGGAGCCAGAGGACCTGGCCCTGCAGCTACAGCAGAAGGAGAAAGACTTGCTGCTGGCTGCGGAACTCGGCAAGATGCTTCTGGAGCGCAATGAGGAGCTTCGCCGGCAGCTAGAGACACTGAGCTCCCAGCACACTGAGCGTGAGGAAGTGAGCTGGCCACTGGGGCCTGGCGGAGGGCAGGAGGACTGGGGTGACCAGGGAAGGGGGCAAGACATGGAGAGGAGCATATGCAGGCAGGTAGGCAGGGGATGCCTCCGGAATAGCTCAGGACTGGGCCCAGTTCCTCTGGCAGTGTGGCCCAGGGCTTAGGATCAAGAACCCTGGGCTGGGGCTGTAGCTCAGTGGTAGAGCACTTGTCTAGTACGTGCAAGGGTTTGAGTGTGATCCCCACTACTAAAAAAAAAAAAAATCAAAGGACAAGTCAAGACCTAAGTTCAGACCTCTGCTTGACTGTGTGACCTTGGGCAAATTGCTGGCCCTCTCTGGATCTTCAGCCTGGCTTCTCAGCGGCACAGTGTGATCCCACCCAACAGGACCTGAGAGCCACTCCCTCCTGCACCTGGCTGAGTGCTCTCCATGCATCATCTCGATTCATTCTTGCTCAATGTTGCAAAGTAGGAAGGGTTCTCCCTTCCGCCCAGGTTGTGGTCAGCCCCACTCTCGTGCTGGAGTTCACACCTAAACCTCTAAACACCCTGATGTACCCGTGTTGTCAGCCCCAATCTCTGCTCTGAGCTGACCTGGATTAAAAAACTGCTCCCTGCCTTCCCCACCAGACCACAGACTGGGTATCTCACTACAATGGCCCCAATTCCCTGTGCACAAGCACTCTTCCCCTGTTGAATCCAAATTCACCTGGTTCTGGTGGTCCCTGCAGCCTGGAACCAGACCCCCTCCCTTCTGCCTGGCTTCCCCTCCTGCCTTCTGGAGTCTGTTCCCATGGGGCAGCCAGGGATCATCAGATCATTTCATTCTTGGCCCAGAATCTCCCCCACAGCTCCCTATCACACTTAGGATGAAACTGAAACTTCTTACCACAGCCTGAAAGTCCCCAAGCTGACTCAAACTTGTACCCACAGGGCCTTTGCATTGCCTTCCTTAAGGCAGCCCTCTTCCTGGTTATCTCCTTGCCCTGCAGGAGTCAATCCCAACATCAACTCCTCTATGAGAGATGCCCACCCACCTTCTGTTCACATGACTTTCCCAGGTTTCTTCACAGCCCTCGATGTTCCTCTGAGGCAGCGAGCTTCATGGTCTTGCTTAACCATGATAGGCCCTGGACAGAAGAAAGTATTGGAAGGAGGGAGGATGGGACTTGGAGATATTAAAGGGACTTGCCAGGCCACACAGCACTAGAACTGAGCACCAGCCAGGACAATCAGACCTCAAACCTGCCAGCTTAATCCCAGGGCCATATTAGGTTGAGTGTGGCTGCCTGGGCTGGACTTCCTGCTCCACTAATTTACTGTGTGTCCTCAGGCAAGAAGGCACTGAACCTCTCTGAGCCTGTGTTCTCCTCTAAGAATGTTAGTGATTCTCCCTCTAGTGGAGCAAGTGAATTACTGCAGGTAGAGCGCTTGGCAGGATTACCTAATACAGTACTGTAACTGTAACTATGGTTATTGTCACCTGCCCTGGGCCCTTCTAGTTTTGAGGTCCTAGAAAGAGTGACCCCCCCGAGTTGGCTTCCCCCTTAAGATGGGCACCTGAGTATGCCAAGCACGTGTACCCTCAGTGGTCAGACAGGTTTTGGGAAGGGCAGGCAGAGGGTGGGGCTCTGGTAGGGCTGGCCAGGGCTAATTAGAGGGAACTGGGAGAGGGGCTGGCCAGAGGCTCAGCCTGCAGATCCCTTAGGACACTACGGGTGTCAGAGTGAGGCCATGGGCCGTGGCTTAAACTCTACCAGACTCAGGCGCCAGAAACGGCGCTTCCGACCCCGGGTCCAGGAGCCCAGGCAGCAGCCTGAGGTGAGTGGGTATCAGGGAGGCCTTATTCTCACCCTACCTAGGGTCACCCTGGAACCTCCTCTCCACTGCCTGCCTGTAGCCTTCTCTCTGATACTTGGGCATCTTCTCTCTGTCACCTTATGTTCTTCTCTCCTGCTTTCTTGTCTGTCTCAGATACCCCCTCCCTCAGGTGCTCTCTTTGGGTCTGTGTCCCTCTGTCCTGCTCTCTGGGTCAGCTCCAGCTTCATGTCACCCTATCTCTGACCCTCTGCGTGGTCCCCACAGCGGCTGAAGCAGGAGAACCATGAGCTCCGCCGGGGCCTGGCAGCCCGGGGCGCAGAGTGGGAAGCCAGAGCTGTGGAGCTTGAAGGTGACCTGGCAGCTCTGCAGGCCCAGCTGGGGGAGCAGCGCTCAGAGCAGCAGGACAGTGGGCGCGAGCGGGCCCGGGCCCTTGGCGAGCTCAGTGAGCAGAACCTCCGGCTCAGCCAGCAGCTGGCCCAGGTGGGTGGCCCTGGCCTGGGGACAGGAGGGGGCTGCCAGCGCATGTGTTCCCAGTGGGGGTAGGCACCTTGGATGGGAGTTGAGACTAGAGTTAGCTGGGGATTCCACTCCCTGTCCTCCCCACCCAGGCCTCTCAGACTGAGCAGGAGCTTCAGAGAGAATTGGATGCACTTCGGGCCCAATGTCACACTCAGGCCCTGGCTGGAGTGGAGTTAAGGACGCAGCTGGAGAGTCTGCAGGGGGAGGTAAGTCTTGCAGGGTGAGGATTTGGGGCTGGAACAGTCTGAGCTAGAAGGGTTGGTGTAGGGGCATCTGGAACCCCTCCCCCAGCTCTATTGCCTTGCCCCAGAACCAGATGCTGCAGAGCCGCCGGCATGACCTGGAGGCCCAGATTCGAGGCCTGCATGAGGAGGTGGACAAGGGCCAGGGCAGGCTGCAGACCACCCATGAGGAGCTGCTGCTGCTGAGGAGGGAGAGGCGGGAGCACAGCCTGGAGGTAACCTAGGGCTGGATTGGGTGGGCAATCAGCAGGGCCATTGGAAGGGCCTCAGGGATTTCTGGGAGGCATGGCTAGAGCTGGATTACTGGGAGCCTGGCAGCTGTGCCAGAAGAACATGGGCGTTAGCCTGAGGGCAAGTGGGACTCACAGAATGCTGTTGGGGGGGGGAGCACTCTTAGGTTGAATCAGAGCCTGGCAGCTGAGAGACCAGGGAGGGGGCCAAGGCTGGAGTTCAGACTGGAAATACCTGGCTTGGACCATGTGTGTGTGTGTTGGGGGGGAGAGTGGAGATGGAGAAAGGGAAAGAAAAGGAAGCAAGATCTAATGTTTGAGATCTCAGGAGTTTGTGTTCTGAGGTCAGACTGCCTGGCTTTTTAATCCCAGTGTCCCTTCTTACTATTGTGGGGTGCCCAGCCTTAGTTTCCCCATCTGTGAGATGGGATGGTAATGACTGTGGTGAGGCTATGAGGCTCAAAAGGAAGGATCAATAAACTCAGAGTCCAGGTAATTAGAGCTAGAAGATAGCTGCGTTGGAAAAGGGTCACACTTTGTGTGAGGTGACTTTGATGGGGTGTGGCTGGGAGCGAGTGATGCCTGGCGTGTCCTGCTTTATAGGTAAAGAAACTATAAAGGCCAGGGGAAGTGCATGGCCCAAGGCGGTCCTGTGATCCAAGTGTGCGTGGGAGCTGGGGTGCCAGTGCCTGGGTAGGTCTATCATTGGGGGTAGGCGCCTGCCCAGGGCCAACCTTCTGCGCCTTGGCTCAACCCTCTTCAGCTGGAACGCACGCGCTTCGATGCTGGTGAGGCTCTGAGCGCGCTGCGGAGGCTGCAGCAGCGAGTCTGGGAGCTGGAGGAGGAGTCGCACCTCCAGGACTCCAATGTGTCCAGCTCCTCCCTGCAGTCAGAGCTTGCTCACACCCTGGACGGTGACCGGGACCAGGAGCAGGATGGCAGTGCATGTGGAGACACCCAGGTGAGCTCCTACCTGTGCCATCAGCAAGCAGCGTGGAACTCCACTCCTTCTCTTCCCAGGAGAATCCACAGGGCACTGACCAATCCTTTGGTCCACAGACCACCCCATCCCTGGAGACCCAGGAGGCTTCTGTCCTCCAGCCTTCACCCCAAGTGGATAGCTTGGAGCCCCCCAAGAAGCAAGCACCCCTGAGCCCAGCTGAAATTCTGGAGGAGAAAGAAGCAGAAGTGGCCAGGCTGCAGGATGAGGTGGGGGAGGGGCTGGGTGCAGAGCCCTACCAGCTGTCCTGTTCTCTTTCCCATCTCCACTTCCCAGCCTTGGTCCACAAAGCCCTGTCCCTATATACTTGGATTTCCCACCATCTCAATGAACTTACAGTCAAGCTTCAAGAACCAGCCTGGCTGCTGCATGCATGTAATCCCAGCACTCTGAAAAGCTGAGGAAGGAAGATTAGGAGTTCAAGCCCAGCTCGGGAAATTTAGCAATTTAACCAGACCCTGTCTCAAAAAACCAAACCAAACCAAAAGAAAACAAAAACAACAACTGAGAGTGCAGCTCAGTACAAAGGCCCTGGTTCAATCTCCAGCGTGTGTGTGGCATGTGCGTGTCGGGGGGTAACCTCCAGGAAGACTTCCTGGGCTCACCCACCCACCCTTATTCCACTCCCAACAATGCTCCCTACAACCCTCCTGAAAGCTTTTACCACTAAACTGATTAGTCAGTCCCACGGAGCTCAGAAGATTCATCTCCAGAACAGGGCCACAATTACCTAGAGTATTTGTGGAGCAGGCAGGGGAGGGCGCTGAGAGCTGGGCAAGTTAGAGCCAGGACTACACAGAAGGTTCGAGGGCCCACCTGCGTTGCTGCCCCCTCCCCTGTCTGCAGATTGCACTGCAGCAGGCAGAGCTGCAGACCCTGCGGGAGGAGCTGCAAAGGCAGAAGGAGCTGCGGGCACAGGACGACCCGGAGGAGGCCCTGAGCAGCGCACTCTCGGACCGAGATGAAGCCGTGAACAAGTGAGCCTCTGCCATCTTCCTCCATTCCCTTAGCGGAGCGACAGGGCCCAGGTTACTCTCTGGCTTTCCCATCTGTGATGTGGTTGTAATTATTCCCACCCCGACCTGGGGACCCTCCGACATTTTTGGTCTCAGTGTAAGCAACCCCGTCCCACCGAGGCCCATGAGCCAGCAGCGTCCTCAGACTATTCCTGCCCTTCCCGCCCGCAGAGCCCTGGAACTATCCCTGGAGCTCAACCGCGTCTCTCTGGAGCGCGACTCCCTGTCCCGCGAGTTGCTCCGCACAATCCGCCAGAAGGTGGCGCTAACGCAGGAGTTGGAAGCCTGGCAGGTGAGGCACCCGGCGGGCTTCGGGGGCGGGGCCAGGGGGAGCCTGGACCGTGACACATCCCCAACCCCCCCCCCCACAGGACGATATGCAGGTGGTGATCGGGCAGCAGCTGCGTTCGCAACGCCAGAAGGAGCTGAGTGCAGCAGCAGTGTCGGGCTCACGCCCCGCCTCGGCTGGCTTCGCTGGCGGCTTCCTCAGTAACCTCTTCCGAAGGACCTGACAGCCGAAGGACCTGACAGCCGGCTGAGGGGGCACCCTTCCCCACAGTGGCATTTACTTTCCTCTAATGGTCAATGGAGCGACAAGCCCCGAATTTCCATGCGGGACCAGTGCCCTTCTGTCCCTCCCCTATAAGCTGGGCCAGGGGCTCTTCCAGGTCAGGGGTCTGCTTTGGGGCCAGGGGCCCAGCTGGGTAGCAGGGCAGAGCTATTTTTCGCATCTGTATAGGTCTGTCTTTAAACACTAGGCCCCCTGCTCTTGCCAGCTCCAGGGCAGGAGAGGGAGCAGATATTTATGTATCAACATTGGACAGAGTAATATATAAAGCACTACATAGACTTTTGGCCTCCATTCTTCGGAAGAAAGCACAAGGAAGAAAAGCTTGAAAGTTTATTGTTTAAAAAAAAAAAAAAGTCTAAACCCCTGGGATGGTGTTGGTCAGGTGTCAGAAGGACAGGGAGAAGGCTCGGTAGCCCAGGTTGGTGAAGACATCCACCCGGCAGCTGTTGCCTGCAGCAGTCAGGACCTGGGGACAGAAGCGGCATGACTAACCTGCCCACACTCCCTAGAGTCCCTGGGGTCCCCAGAGCCCCCTGCTTGACCCACCTTGCACTCGGGTGCTGCTGGCTGCTGGTTGAGGCTGAGGCTGAGCAGCCCCGGGGAAGAGCCAGGCACCTGGGCCTTGAGCTCCCCACTCAGCTGCCAGTGGTTGATGCAATGACCCTGGCCAGCTGACAGAATCTGTGGAGGACAGGGAGGGGGCTCAGGGCTGGAGAGGGGACTTGGGGAGGGTGGCAGAAGCAAGACAGAGAAGCTGGGCATTTAGCTCAGTGGCACCATCCCTGCCTTGAAAGCGCAAGGTCCTGAGTTCGATCTCTGGTACCAAAAAACAAAAAACAAGACAGAGGGCCTCACCAAGTCCTGGTAGAAGGTGACATGCTTCTGTGGTGCCCGCATGGGGAAGATGGTGGTGGGTGTGGAGGACCGCAGGTGCCAGAGGGTGAGGGCTGGGCCCCCTCCACAGACCTGAGCAGAAAGGTGTAGGTTCCCCAGCCACTGTGAGCCATAAGCCTTCAGCTGACCAGGCCTGGAGACCCTATCGTCCCCCAGCCCACCATGCACTCTGCCACCTTACCATCCAGTCTGCATCAGTTGCCAAGCATCCAATCCAGCGCCCATTGTGCGGCCTGGAGCACTCCTGGGAGGGAGGGGGAAAAAGTTGAAGACAGAGACAGGGTGGGGAAGAGAATAGGTATGTGGGTCATCCCCTTACCTCATGCTTATAAACCTCGATTATCTGTGCTTCCTTGGCTGTGCGGAGGTCTGTGGGGAAAGAGCCATGAGGGCCCCAATGAGCCCTACTGACCACTCCTCCCTCCTCCTATCCTGCCCTCCAGCCAGCCACCCCTTACCCCAAAGCCGCACAGCCCCATCTTCGCTGCCTGACAGCACCTCAGGACTCCGCTCTCTAAGTGCCAGGCAATGGATATAGTCTGTGTGGCCTCGGAGAGCCCGCTGGAGAGAGAGGGACAGAATGAGGAAGAGATCCAGGAAGAGTTCCTCCCCTGGCCCAGATCTGCCCCAGCTCTGCTCACAGTGAAGGTTCCAGTTTCCAGGTCCATAGTGTGCAGTTGACAGTCTCCCCCAGCCAGGATGAGGGAATTCTCCTGCAGAGGAACCAGGGTGGGGATGGGAGTCAGGTCAAATCAGGAGGAGTAGGTGTGGAGTCAAGGTCTGGGCCAAGAACTGTCACAAAGGGCTTAGACCTTGGGAACGAGCAGCAAAGCATTGATCTCTGGCACTTCCAGGCTGGTCCTAGGGGAGGAAGGGCAGGGTCAGTATCAGTGAGGTAGTGCCTTCACCCAACATGACTTTCACTCACATGGCCCTGGCTCACCTGTATGGGGGCTGACGACGCCACATTTCCTTACAGCCCTTTACAAGGGAAAACAGTGGGTGACCACAAAGGCTCTTTCTGGGTGGGACAGTCCAGCCCTTCCCCAGGCTCCAGATTTTTTACCTTCTTGAGGATCTCTGCCCAAAGCCAGGCCTTCACCTCCCCATCCCCAGCACTGAGCAGTTGTCGATCAGTGGAGACCATGCTGTAGACAGGCCCATCATGGGCTAAAGGGAAACACAGTACCTGAGTAAGCCCACTCTGCCACCTCTTCCACCCTGGAGTCTCCTAAGCCATTATTCAACAGCTATACCCACCTTGGAAGGTCACCACAGGCTTCTTGCTTTCCTCTTTGGCCTCTGAACTCAAAGCAGCAGACAAGCTGGAGGTGAGAGGCAAGTGGGACCCAGGGGTCAGAAACAGGAGGCATCAGACCCAGGAGGGCCTAATGCCAGGGCTCAAGATGGTAGAGAGCAGTGGCTGAGGTTACCTGAAGATGGCAATCTGTCCATAGTTGTTGCCAGCTGCCAGGAACTTCCCACAGGGTGAGACACTCTGGGAGAAGATAGTCATGTGCAGCCGCTGCAGGGCCTGAAACACCTCGGCCTGTAGGGAGACTGGATGAAGCCTCTGTTCACAGACTCTTCGCTGTCTTCCCTATCCCAGCCTGGCCTCTCCTGTGGACTTCTCACCCCTCTTTTGAGATGTTCACTACACAATCATTTGCCCATGGCGCCCCGGAAGTGACTCCAAGAAAGGGGTGAGGAAAGAAGAGTTGGGGTGTGATGCCTAGGAAGTGCAAAGCAAGCACCAAATCTCTTCTACCAGTTTCTTCAACAGTCAAATGGCATTCACAAGAGATCCTGTCACAATTAAATGAGCTAGTGGACAAGCTAATGTGCAAAGCTTGTACACAGAGCCTTATATGGGGCTGTCATGTAGAAAATGCTTAAAAAGCAGCTCTTGGGCTGGGGATTTAGCTCAGTGGTTCCGCTGCCTGCCTCGAAAACACAAGGACCCGAGTTTGATCCCCGGTACCAAAAAAAAAAAAAAAAAGCGGCTCTTGCAGGGCATGGTGGCACGTGTCGGTAATCCCAGCACTCTAGGAGGCTGAGGGACAAGGTTTACAAATTCAAGTCCAGCCTCAGAATTTAGTGACTTAGCAAGATCCTGTCTCAAAATACTAAATAAAAAGGGCTGGGGATGTAACTCAATGTGAAGGCCTTGGATTCAATCCCCAGTATTGGAAGTAAAATAAGGCTCCTGTACAATTATTGTGTCAACTTTCTTTTTTTGTTCTTTTTGTTTTTGTTCTTTTATTGGTACATTTTAGGTATAAAATTCATTTACATTTATCATTGGGTGTTTGTACCTGTACATGATGTATCTTGGTTCCTATTTTTTTTCCCCATTACCTGTGTGCCCTTCACCCCCTCCACCCTTCCCTATTTACATAGATTTCATTTCCTTTTTTTTTTCTTTTCTCATAGTTTTTCCTTTCCCTCTTTTCCGTCCCCCTTCCCCTCCCTTCACTCCTTTGTCTTTGGACCTTTTTTCCTATTTCAAATTATCAATTATTCATTTTAATCATTTTAATCCTTATTTACACTTTCAGTTTCTCACACTAGAGAAACTATTCGGTATTTACACATGTGTGTCCTATTTATTTCACTTAAGAGTATGGCCTCGATATGCATCCATTTAGCTATAAATGACTCTAGTTTTTCATTCTTTATGGCTGAGTAGTACTCCATCTTATAAAAAAAACCACATTTTCTTTATCCAGTTTCCAGTTGATAGGCATTTGGGCTGCTTCCAAGCTTCAGCTATCACAAACTGTGCTGCTATGAACATGGGTGCACATTCAATTTTCTTTTTTACTTAATTTATTTGTTTAAGACAGGGTCTTGCTATGTAGCTCAGGCTGGCCTTGAACTCTCCACCATGCCCAGCTTCATCTTTTTAAAAATGTAGCTACTGAGGAGACTGAGGCAGGAGGATCACAAGTTCAAAACCAGCCTAAGTAGGGCCGGGGATTCAGCTGAGTGGTTCTGGCGTCTGCCTTGCAAGCCTAAGGTCCTGAGTTCGATCCCCGGTTCCAAAAAAAAAAAACCAGCCTAAGCAACTTACCCAGACCCTGTCTCAAAATTTAAGGGGAAGGTTAGCCGGGCATGGAGGCGCACACCTGTTATCCTAGTATTTGGGAAGATGAGACAGGAGGATCACTGCGAGTTGGAGGCCAGCCTGGGCTACACAGTGAGTTTAAGGTCAGCCTAGACTACAAGGTGTGACTGTGCCTCAAAAAACCAAAAGCCAAACCAAACAAAAACAAAACCCCCAAAAAATTAAAGTTGGGAGCAAAGAACTCGAAAAAAAATAAGTAACTCGAAGCCTTGCCTAACTTGAGTGAGCCCCCTGGGTTCAAGCTAGAAATAATTAGTGATTTTATTATTTCAGCACAGAAAAATGGACTGACCTCTAACCTCTACATTCTACTTGCACTTAGGCAGATGCTCTTCTCGCTTACTCCACTGCCCCCTACAGAGCTGGAGTCTCACAGATCGCTTCTGCACACCAGTATTCCCCGCACCATTCCTTGCCCATTCCGTCGAAGTCAAGCAGGGACTGCAAACCCCAGAAAGCACCACGCGCACGTCGGCTCACCTGACCCAGAGGCACCGCGAGTGGCGTAGCACGCTCCATCTCAGGAACCACAAGTCCCAGAGTGCTCCCCGTGTGACGCAGCCTCCCCGACACCGGACGTGCCCGTGAGCCGCTCCTCTTCGAGGCACCTAGTACCTGGATATTGCCGGCCGATCCGGCGAAGGCGGTCGTCTTGTGCCGCCACGCTCCTCAGGAAACAAGTAGAGCGTCGCTAAGTCCCCAGATAGTAAGAAGTGGCAGCGGTGCTGTCCTGCTACGACGGATCCCCACCCCCACTCCACCAAGTAGACCCGCCTTCCAGCCGAGGGCCGCTCCTCTTCCGCGTCTGCGCAGGACCCCACCGCAGTGCGTGAGGCCACACCCCTTGCGTTTGGACCACGCCCCTGAGGCTCCGCCCCTGCTGCCCGGATCCCACCCCTCTGTCCGCGGGACCCCAACCCCAATGATCCTGCAGCAGCCCCTGGAACGGGCCTCCCCAGGTCTCGCCCTGCGGGCCACCTCGGGGGTGACTCGGGGCCTGGACACCAGGTGCGTTTGGGGGCACTGGGTAGCCCACTAAGGGGCGCAGGAGCTTTGGCTGGGGGCCCAGGGCTTTATCTGCGGGACGACACTGGATGAGGCGACCCGCGGGGTTTGCGCTTGAGCTGAGACAGGGTTAAGGCTGGGAGCTACTTTTGGTCGAGACTTCTGAGATAAGCTGATGGATGGCCAGAGAGGGGGTGGTTTAAGCGTTATTGAGTTAGGAATGGGCAGGGGGCTCCAAGCAGACGCCGCAGGCTCAGGAGGGCAGATCCTCGGAAGAACCAAAAGGGTGGGGTGCCCCTGGCTGTCTCTTTTTCCCAGCTCCCCTGTCCGAGGAGCTGTGCCTATGAGCACCAAGCAGCGCCTGGAAGAGCAGAGTTTGGGGGTAGGGAGGGTTCCCGACTGGTCGTCACCTCTGGTCCCCATCAAGCAGTCTCCTCTCAATATCTGTGCCAGTCTTCCTGTCTCTCCCCAGGGAGGCCTTGCGCAAGCAGTTCCTGACTGAGGAGAACATGGCCACCCACTTCTCCCGACTCAGCCTACATAATGACCACCCCTACTGCAGCCCCCCCATGCCTTTCCTCCCTGCCCTGCCCCCACTCAGGTAAGCACTGTCCACTGGCCAGACCTCCTAGGGGATTATACCTGCTCCTCAGAGCTGATCCTCATGCCCTGCCTCATCATGCTATTTTTAGCTTCTAACTAACTTATGTGCTGTTTCCCATCTTGGCTCCAGAGACCTGGACCTGGGGGGAGGTGGTTCTGCCAAGCTGTCGTTCAGCCCCATGCCTTGACTATCATTTCCTCTTCCAGGAGCCCTTGCTCGGAGTTGTTTCTCTGGCGATACCCTGGAAGCCTGATCCCAGAGGCCCTCCGGCTGCTGAGGCTAGGGGATACCCCTACCCCCCATTTTGCTGCAACCCCAGCTGGGGATATAATGGAGCTCTGAGCATTGGTGGACAATGACTCTTCCCACCTTTTTGCCTGCTACACGACTGGCAACTTCTACAAAGGCACAGGGTCCTTATTTATCCTCCTCTACATCAGGCATCTGGGCACCAGGACCTTTCCCTAACAGATGACACTGAGCTCAGTGGAATCTTGGGATGGGAGGGGCAGCATGGGAAGGGAGGTATCCTTAAAAGTGAATAAAAATTGCCTAGCAGTCTGGGATTTAGCTCAATGATTCTGCCGCTTGCCTCGAAAGCCCAAGGTCCTGAGTTCAATCCCCAGTACCAAAAAAAAAAAATTGCCTAGCAATTGAAGGTTACATAGGGAGATCCTATCTGGAACCTGGGGCCTTTGAGGAGGGTGGGGTACTGGATGCTGGGGTTTTTTAAGATCTTCCCTGGAAAATGGTCAGGGCTGGCCAGGTCCTAGCAGGCTGAGTTGCAGGCATTGAGAATGTGTGAGTCAGAGCCTCACCCCCACCCCCACAGCAAACGACTGACTCACTCCCTCCTTCCAGCTCTGGGGAGTCAGGCTGGGGATCATACCATACTCCAAACCATTTAAAGTTAAAGAATCTTTTATTAATAAATTCTCCCTTCAAAACTTTCTCCCCAAAATAAATATCCCCCCCACACCCTTGGGAGCTGGGGGGGGGGTCCTATATCTTAGGACAGGCCCTCCTAGAAGGCCAGCCCTCTAGTGTTAAGAACAGATCCCTAATTGCCCCAGGACTACAGACACACACACACACACACACACACACCCCACCCCACCCCCGTGGAATTTCAGTCCATCTGAGTGGGTGAGGCCTGAGGCCTAGTGTTGTGTCTGTCCCTTGAGTCAGCCTGGCCTCCAGGGCATCAGGGGACAGGAAGACCCCTTTGTGCAAATGCTGCAGTTCCTTACTGTGAGTGGCATGAGGCTCCTTTTCTGTCCTGGAGCCAGACAGGGCAATCAGACACCTTGGAAGCCTCCCCTGAACCCTGGGCCCAGCCTCCAAGATGATTCACAACTCCCTTCCCCCTTGTGGCTGGAGGAGGCCTGGCTCTCTGGGAAGCAGGAGCTCTGGCTCCAGAAGAATGAATGAACGATGAATGGGTGAGGCCCAGCCGATGGGGGCACTCAAGTCACTGGATCAGTGCCACACCTGGACAGCCTTCTCCACCAGTCTCCTCTATAGGGGCTGTAAGAGAGATGTGGGGTGGTCATGAGCAGGGGAAATGTGCAGGAGTGATGGGGGGGGGGGAGTGGCACACTGACTGGTAAACTTCTCTCTCCTGTGACACCGTCTCCAGACCAGGAAGCCAGAAAGCAGCGCCAACACAAGGGCCAGGCTCAGGGCGCCCCCAAGGATGGGCCAAAGTAGCTGGAAAGGGGCAGGCGGGGTCGCAGCACCTGGGGATGGGACTCAAGTCAGATCTGACTCTCTCAGGTCCAGCCCCACCTTCTAGCATTGAACCTAAGCCCGCCGTGGCTCCCACCCTGACCCCTTCCCCACTCTCGATTCCTTTTGATTAGTTCCACAGATCCAAAACCATCTACTCTCCTCTACACCCCAGCAACTCTCCACCTGCTCTAGGGTCCTCTGGCCACGGGCCGGTCCCTCACTCACAGCCCAGGCAGAAGTCACTGTGAGGTCGCGCCGGACACGACGCGCAGTCCATGCACTTGTCCAGGTCCGCGCTCCACGAGCTGCCTCGAGAGCAGGGGGCGGTTCCTGGGGAGGGGGCCGCGGGTCAGATACTAGGGGAGGGGCGCGGCTATTCTGGGGGCTGAGGTCAGGGTCCGACGGCTCGAATAACGTGAGTCACTGGCGCTCCCCCCCCCCCGCATTCCTCACAGGTGACCGCACGGCCTGACCGAGACACGGCAGTACGGGGAGGGGTGGCGTAGCGCAGAACTTTGGCGTGGGGGGGTTCAGGTCCCCACAACCCCCGCGCCGCCGGCGTGTGACTCACTCCTGGGCACCCGGCCCGACCCCGATCCCTCCCCCCGCATAACTGGGCACTGAAGTCACCGGATGGCAGGGGGCACCCCACTGGTATAGAGGGCACAGACCCCCGTGACTCTCCGGACCCCCCTCAACTCTTCCCTCCCTGGGGTTGACCAGACCCCGTGAAGACCAGGAAGGGGGTGTGCCCCTCACCAATCCAAACATCCTGCCCGAAACTTGCTTTCTCTCCGCTACTGGAACAGGCATTTTGGACTGCAGCCCGCCACACCCGGACTGGACGAAGAGAGTAAGTGAAGTCCGGACTGCGAGTGAAGCCCGAGTGGGAAGAGACCTCTCGCAGCAGGAAGCTCGGCGTGCCAAGACACCAGAATCCACACCCAAGTCCACCCGGTCGGTCACGGTCCGGTCCTCGGCCCTGGATCCCTCGGCCCCCGCGCCCCGTGTACCTGGCGCCTGCTCCCCAGTCGTGGCGCGCGGCAGCGCCAGCACAAGCCCCAGCACGAGGAGCCTCGGCAGCCAGTGTAACCAGCCCAGAGCCATGATGCACGTCCCGCGGCAGCCGCTGTCTGGTCTCCGCGTTCCGCTGCCGGCACCCTGGGCCCCGGGCTCCGCCCCCGCCCCCGCCTTCCGGGGCGGAACCCTCGCCCCCACCGCCCCCGGCTCGCTCCGCCCCGAGCGGCCCGCTATGTCAGCTCATTGGACCAACGCTAGATCGGCGCGGGAGCTTTGCGCCCTGCAGGAACGTGGATCTGGACCTACCTCTCCCAGCTCACATTCAGTGGGTGTGGAACAGGAGGGTCTGATACAAGCAACTCCTAAAGAGATAACTGCAGGTTTATTTTTTGTCTTTTCTTTTTCAGATACTGGGGAATAAACCCAGGGTCTTTACGCTGAGCTACATCCCAGTCTTTGGGGGTTTGGGGGTTTGTTTTGTTTTGTTTTGTTTGTTTTTGGAGACAAGGTCTTGCTTTGTAGTTCAGGCTTGCCCTGAACTCACTATGTAGTCCAGGCTGGCCTCGAACTCTCAGCCATCCTACTGCCTCGGCCTCCTGAGTGCTGAGATTACAGGCGTGTGCCGCCACGCCTGGCCTAATTGCAGGGTTGGGGGGGGGTTGGTACCGGGGATCGAACTCGGGTCCTTGCGCTTGCGCAGCAGGCGGCGAAACCACTGAGCTAAATCCCCGGCCCAACTGCAGGTTTTTGAGACAAGGTCTTGCTATATATTCCAGGCTGGCCTTGAATTCACTATGTAGTAGCCTGGGCTGCCCTCAGAACTCACGGCGGTCCTCCTGCCTCCAACTCCCGAGTGCTGGGATCAAAAGCGTGTGCCACCATGCCCAGCTCAACTGCAGGTTTCTTAACACATCCGGGGGTATATCACTAACAACAGAAAAATAACATGCTCTTTAATTTGTACCTTAGGTAGTACACACTAAAATACAGGCTTGTCCTTATTTACGGAGAAAACTGAGGCTCCAGAACGACAGGTGTAGCAGCCGCGATCGCCAGCGACCCCACTCTCCAGACCAAGCTGGGATGCGCGCGCCCTTACGGACGGGGCGGGGGGTGGGGGGGTTGTCTCTGCCCCTCCCCGGGGGAGGTGAAACAGTGACGTCAGGGCCCCTTTAAGACCCCCGCCTCCACCCCTCTCCCCTCACTCGGCCCGCGAATCTCTTTGGTCCCTTCCTCAGGTGAGTCTCCAGCAAGTGTGCGTGTTGGGGGTTCCGAGAGATCTTCGCAGGGCCGGATGCAGAGACCTCGGCGCCGTGGGTGGAGGCACCCACGGAGAACCCGAGCGGCGCTCCTGGAAGCAGCCATCGGCCTAAGCAGGGGGCTACACTGAACCTCGGAGGCGATCGGGCCCTTGGGCAGCACTTGGAGCCTTAAATGCCCCTCCCTCTTCCCAGGACAAAGACTCCAAAACTCTGTGCCCCTCCTCCACCTGCCTTGCCTCTCTGGGGTGGGGCTCCCCTCCCCCTCACCTGCTGAAGCGGACCCCTGGACCAGTCCGAGCCAGAGGGGACGGAGCGGACTGGAGTGGCCGACCCCTCAGGGTGTGAAAAGGGAGGGAGGCCGGGGCAGGGCCGCTGGTAGACTGGGATCTCCCTGAGGTCCTGAGCTCGGCCTCCTAGGATGAACCGCAAGTGAGAAGGGGCTGAAACTTGTCCCCGGGGTGTGCTGCTGGGGAAGGAGCTACCATTAGGTACCGACCATGCGTGCAGAACTTTGTGTAATGAGGAGCCACAGCAGGCCTTGAGCAGGGAGGGGTTTGGGCCTTGAGGGACAGGTGCAGTGAGGGTGGTGGTAGAGGACTGGACAGATCCTGGGGTTTTAGTTCCTCTTAGGGAAGTTGTGTCCTGAGAGGACCATAGCACAGCCTTTGATCTGAAACAAGAAAATGGCTCCAAACTTGAGGACATGCTTGCTCTGTGGCTCCCAGGGGAATGCTGAAGAGTGGACGGAAGAAGTCAGCGGGTGTCCTCGGGGAAAGGAATTGCTTCTGGCTGAGAGTTGTTTGCCCCTCGCCCCAGTCTTTCTTGCCCCTCCAGGGCCAGGCTGGCTACTCACCCACCAGAGGGCGTCTAGGAAGAGACAGCTTATGGAGGGTGGTGGAGGGCCAGGCTTGGGACACGATGAGGATAGTAGCAGCCTGATGTGAATAGAGTGGTTCAAGGGGTTTGGACTTTGAGTGATGGGAAAAAGGTGGTTTTGGCAGTGGCGGGGAGGCAGGGGCAGTGCTGAGGATTGAACCCAGGGCTTTGAACATGCTAGGCAAGTGTTCCTCAACCACTAAGCTACATCCTCATCCCTGAGAATGAGAAATTTTGAGTCTGAAACATGCTAAAGCCAGACCATGTGGAATTGCAGTCTTTCCATCCCTCTTTTTGCCACTTTGTTGCATGATAAAATGTACTTTTTTTTTTTTTTTTTGATACCGGGGATCAAACTTGGGACCTTGTGCTTGTGAGGCAGGCAGCAGAACCACTGAGCTAAATCCCCAGCCCTAAAATGTACTTTTCTGAGTACCTGGCAAAGGCCACGGATGTGCATTGGTTTTATCCTCTTGCTTGTCATTTGTACCCCAAACAGCCAGGGTTATCAGCTTATTTACTGTCCTAAGCCAGAGGCTGTCACATAACTAGGGAAGCATTAAGTGCTTATTTTGCATATGATAAATGAAGCTCAAGGAGTGTAGGCTGCCCTCATTACAGGACGTAGTGACCAACTCTTGGGGTACATGCTATTGGTGGCCTGTGTGGGGTCACACAGCTCATGGTCTGGGGTCTAGGCCAGGTGACTAACGCTTCTCTGTTTCTGTCCTCCCACACAATACAGCTCCATCAGCTTTGCTATGGCTTCTGCTGGTCTGCAAATACTGGGGATTGTCCTGACATTGCTGGGCTGGATGAAAGCCCTAGTGTCCTGTACCCTACCCATGTGGAAGGTGACTGCTTTCATCGGCAACAACATCGTAGTGGCCCAGGTGGTATGGGAAGGGCTGTGGATGTCCTGCGTGGTGCAGAGCACTGGCCAGATGCAGTGCAAGGTGTATGACTCTCTGCTGGCACTGCCCCAGGACCTGCAAGCTGCAAGAGCCCTCTGCGTCATCACCCTGCTTGTGGCCCTGCTGGGTCTCTTGGTCTACCTTGCCGGGGCCAAGTGCACCACCTGTGTAGAGGACAAAGATTCCAAGGCCCGCCTAGTACTCACCTCTGGGATCATCTTTGTCATCTCAGGGGTCCTGACTCTTATTCCAGTCTGCTGGACAGCCCACACCATCATCCAGGACTTCTACAACCCCCTGGTAGCTGAGGCCCAAAAGCGGGAACTGGGAGCCTCCCTCTACCTGGGCTGGGCTGCCTCAGGCCTTTTGCTCCTGGGTGGGGGACTGCTGTGCTGCACCTGCCCCTCTGGAGGGTCTCGGGGCTCCAGCCATTACCTGGCCCGTTACTCAGCATCTACCCCACATTCTCCTTCTCGGGGGCCCTCTGAGTACCCCACCAAGAATTACGTCTGATGCAGGTGGGGGCTGAGGGCTCCATTGGTCTTGGCCCCTGAGGTGGAGCCATGGAGATGGTGACACCTGACAGCTTTGGGGTTGCTGCTTACCTTGCTTTTGCTTTTTGCTGGGTTTTTTTGGGGGGGGCCTTTTAAATCTATTTGATAATGGAACTAAGATAACCTACCCTTCTGCTTGGGCTCTGATATTGACATTTCTCATCTTTGGATGGTGGAGCCAAAAAGGTGATCCTCTGAGTTTCTGGATATTTTTTCATTCTTCACATAACCATCTTGGAACCCAAGATGGAGCTATGGAACCAATGCAAAGGCTGCAGTTGCTGGGGAATGAGCGTCCCTAAAGTTGGCATCAGCCAGACCCATTCCTGGAAGGCCTGATGATTGAGTTACCAAAGAACTGCCCACCCCATCTTCTAACCTCCAACTCCTGTATCCAGCCACCATGGACCCTCTTCAAGTCCGGCCCTACCTGTTCTGGCCCATGAACACCCCCGTGAGCACCTCCAACCCTGCACACTTCTGCCCATCCTCCACTCACACAATAAAGCATGTTTTGTTAATATGTGTTTGGTGTTGCTGGGGGCTGAGTGCCCAGCCTAGCTAGAGGAGAATGTGCATCCAAGTCCATCATGATCACTTGTCCCTGATCCCTCCTGGCTCAGACCCCATGACCAAGTGAGGTTGCCCTGGGGTAAGACCTAAGCCAGGCGTTGACCTGGCTACTCAGGGATCTTGAGCACAAAACAGGAAGCCCAGCTGGGCAAGGTAGTGTGCGCCTGTATTCCCAGTACTCCGGAAGATGGAGGAAGCAGGATCACTGGAGCTGTAGGCCAGCCAGGGCTGGATAGTGAGTTCAAGGCCAGCTTGAACTATATAGTGAGATCCTGTCTCAAACAAAACAAAACTCAAACAGTAGAAGCCCAATTACACGTTTTCTTTTTATTCTCACCGCAGGGGGTAGGGCATGTGGGCTGGCTGCTCCCAAAGGACCTGGCCCCAAGTATCTTAGTCTCATAAGAATTTTTTTTTTTTCCTTATCAAGGATCAACCTCAGGACTTGCACTTGCCAGGCAGGTGCAGCGCCACTTAGCTACATCTCTGCCCCCCGCAGGTGTCTTAGATGCAAGTATTGGCTGGGCCAGAATGGACCGGCTCCAGGACAAGTTTGGCTCCTTATTTTGGAGGCAAGGAGCTGCTATCCTTTCAGTGGATCCCAAGTTCCTGGGGGAGGGGAAAGCTCATGTCATGGACAGCAGAAGAGTAATTACAGAGGGAACAGGCATGGGCAAGGGCACCCAACAGGTTTGGCCCAGGTTCAATGAGGTGGGGACCAGAGGGTTGGCCCAGCAGGGCCAGCTGAGACTGACCCTGAGTCAGGTTATCTGAGCTTTACAAGAATGGATTTCCCAGGGTAGGGAGTTGGTGGGAGAAGGCAAAGGTAGAACCAAAGCTCAAATGCTGGCTCCGCAAGAAATCTACTTCATACATAGTCCCTCTTGTCCAGCCCAGATGCACCAGAGCGGGAGGGGATAGAGTAGCCCAGCCTGGGGCCACGAGGCCGCTCGATCTGGGGTGGGGGGCATGTGCAGCAGAGAAGCCCCCCACCCAGCATGAGTAGTGCAGCTGCTGCCCAGCCTAGGTAGAGGGAGGCCCCCAGCTCCCGCTTGAGGGCCTCAGCCACCAGCGGGTTGTAGAAGTCCTGGATGATGCCGTGGGCTGTCCAGCAGACCGGGATGAGCACCAGGATGCCTGAGAGGAGAAGGAGGACCCCTGCAGTGAGTACAATGCGGGCCTTGGCACCCTCATCCTCCACACATGTGGTGCACTGGGCACCTGTGATGGCCACCAGCAGGCCAAGCAGCGCCAGTAGGAGGGCTACAACACAGAGGGCGCGGGCAGCCTGTAGGTCCTGGGGCAGTGCCAGCAGAGAGTCATACACTTTGCACTGCATCTGGCCAGTGCTCTGCACCACGCAGGACATCCACAGCCCTTCCCATACCACCTGGGCCACCACAATGCTGTTGCCGATGAAAGCGGTCACCTTCCACAGGGGCAGCGCACAGGATACCAGGGTCCCCAGCCAGCCCAGCACAGCCAGGGTCATGCCCAGGAGTTCAAGGCCAGTTGAAGCCATCTGCCCTTCTGTTCAGTCTTCTCAGCCTCAGGCAGCCGGGTTGACTCAGCAGGGAGTCAGATGTGTTGGATGGGGGTCTCGATGCCCAGATGCCCAGGAGGAAGGGTATCCTTTGTCTTCCAGCTAGAACAGTCTTCACAAGTGTGGGCCTCTCACAGGTTGGTGTCTGCTGCTCACTTACCACAATCCTGTTTCTTGGTCCTGCTCAGCTGAGTGGCTTGTGTCTGATGAGAGGCTGTCACCCTTTGAACACCCTGCAGTCACATCTGGGCCCAGTTCAAAAGGCTCTTTCAGACCTGCGGAGAGCTCTGTTCCCTCCTGGCTGGTGCTGGAGTGAAACCTCTGAGCAGTGAACTCTGCGGTGTCACCTGGGGCCTCTGCAGGCTCCAGCTACAGGTGGGGTTTTAAGGCCCCAGCAGGGGAGGAGCAGAGCAAGCAGTAGGAGGCCAGGATTGGGCCACAGCAAGTGGGGGTGGGAGGAGGGGGAGAGGGTGAGATGGGTGTCAGTGGTGCATGGTACTGAGGGCAGGTGGGACCGGGGGACAAACTTCATTGCATGTGAGAACCCAGGGACAAAGGAATGGGAAGACTGAGGACAAGGGGGGCTAACCGGCTGGGGATAGGGTGGGCAGAGGGTTCAGCTTGAGACTGACACTTCCCCAGCCTTTGCCATCCCCCTGCCCCATTTCATGATCCAAATGTCCCCTTCCCCCGCAGTACTGAACCATCCCCCAGCACTCTCTGGAATCTGATCCCTCTCCTGTCTCAGCCTCGTGGGCCAGGAGGCTCCTGAGGGAGGGGCCCCGCCCGCACAGTTCCCCAGGCAACAGGTGCCTGGGCCCAACTCAGGTGGCATCACCTTGGCAACGGCCTAGAAAACTACCCCTCCCACACTTCCACCTCAGCTCAGGTGTGCCCGCCCCACCCCCTGCTGCCGAAACTGGGGGGCTAAGCAGAGCTACTGAAGGTCTCTAGAGGCCTGTGGATAAAGAGCCCATTGTTGAGGTGGAGAGGCACACAGGAGGCTGGGGGAGAAAGGGGGATAGTGGGGGAAGGGACTCCAGGGCAGGGATGAGCCCAGAACCGGGCTCTCTCCCCCGTGGTTGAAGAAGTAGCCAGTCAGGTCCTCCAGGCCAAAACCACAGAAGGCAGGGAGTGAGATGGACAGCACTCAGGCGTCCTGGAGTGTGCCTTCCAACACAGGAAAGAGCCCCCTCGGAACTGTGACTCATTTTGTGGAGGGCACCCAGGGATTCACACAGATCATGCAGGGTCAAGCTCCTTAATCCTCTTGGGTCAAAGACCCACCTGAGAAACCTCAAGAGATTTACATTCTTCATGGGAACACACTCCCACAACAGATGAGGAGGCCCTCATTCTGGGAGGTTCACAAACTCCCCAACCCCTTCCTGGGGGCTTAGAACTCCTGAAAACACTGAGAAAAATCTCTCCCATTCACACTTTGCAGGGGTTGTGTGAGGATCCTGGAAGCCACAGTGGGCCCTCATGGAGACAGCCTCTCACTTCCACACATCCTCTAAGAAAGGGAGAGCTGGGGGTGAAACTAGAGCAGAACCTGGCACCTGATGCCCCAGTGGGGACAGAGGTGCCCCCTGGCTTGGGGGAGGGGTTAGGTACATCTCTACTTGGTGTTCTTTTTTTTGTGGTACCGGGGATTGAACTCAGGACCTTGCACTCATGAGGCAGGCAGGCAGTGGTACCACTGAGCTAAATCCCAGGCCCCTTACTTCTTGTTCTGTGGGACTTTATTATAAAGTGTTCTAACTTCAAGAATTGAGGCAGATGAGATGGTACAGACCTATAATCTCAGCACTCTGGGAAACTAAGGCAGGAGGATTGCAAGGTTGACCCCAGGCTGGGAAGTGAGTGATTGATTATTGACTGATTGAGACAAGGTCTCACTATGCAGTTCAGGTTGGTCTTGAACTCACCATGTAGCCCAGGCTGGCCTTGAGTTCAATGTGATTTTCCTGCCTCAGCCTCCAAGTGCTGGGATTACAGGTGTGCACCACCATGCCCAACCAGCCTGGGAAATTTAATGACTAAGCAAGACTGTCTCAAAAAATAAAAATATAAAGTTGGGCATATTCAAGGCCAGCCTGGGCTACATAGTCCAAGACCAGCCTAAACTACATAGTGAGACCCTGTCTCAAACAAACAAACAAACAAACACAAACAATAAAGTGCTGGATAGGGCCAGGGATTTAGCTCAGTGGTTCTGCCGCCTGCCTGGCAGGCACAAGGGCCTGAGTTTGATCCCTGGTACCAAAAAAAAACCACCAAAAAACAAAAGGGCTAGGTATGTAGCTCAGTTACAAAGGCCCTGGCTTCAACCTTAGTATTGCAGAAGAAAAAAGAGTTGTTTGAAATTAGAACCAGAAGTACAAACATCACTTTTGGGTAAAGGTTTTAGTATTTGGGGGAAGAGATGTTCATGTTTTCATCAGTTTGGAAAAGGAGTCTATGATCCCACAAAGCTTGACAATCTCCCCCAACCAAAAAATACAGTACTGAAGCCAGCACCACTCAGCTGGTCTCCAAAATGGGGTGGATTGGGGTGTACCCCACCCCCCTACCCCAATCTCCCCACAGGGAGAGGCTCCTCCCCGTGGACGGCTTTTCTGGTGCCCCCACTGAGGCCAGAGGAGGTGGATGCGCCTTCTCTATAGTGGCAGGGTGTGGATGGGGGTTACAATAGTGGCCTGTACAGTGGCCAGTTCAGCCCTCTGTGGTGTCCAAATCAATGACCCTACAGTTTAGATTTCACAGGGGTGGGGGCAAGGGGATGATTGCAAAGAAGAGCAAATAGAAACCAGCCTGTCCGGGGGCTTCCTCTGTTGCCTTCCAGGGGCTGCCAGGAATCCAGCCACACAGGTTTGGGCAGGTGTCAGTTGGCAGCACAAGCCTGGGTCTCTAAAGGGGCCCCCACACCCTAGCTGGGGCCCCAATGCAGAGGCAGGGCCTTTTCTTTTCCCGGGGCCCAGCAGAAGCCTCCCTCTTGCCTTGGGTCTTGGGGGCCCAACATACCCCAATTGACCTGAGACATTCCCAGTTTTGTTTTGTTTTGTTTTGTTTGTTTTTGGTACCAGGGATCGAACTTGGGTCCTTGCGCTTGCAAGGCAGACAGTGGAACCACTGAGCTAAATTCCCAGCCCTATTCCCAGTTTTGAGTAGTGAGTGGGACAGTTGGTCAACTTGTAGTCAGGTCTTGCCTCAATGGTCCCCAGTTCTCCCAATATTGTAAACGAATGCGGAGGCTGTACACACTCCCACCACTCTACACTGAAGCAAAGCAGGAGTGCCCACTCTGCCAGGGACCAGCCAGCCACAAGTGAGATGGGGACTCAAGAGGACATGGGCGACTCCTCGTGAGAAATCGCTACTGGACTTGCTCTCCTGTGGCACAGGCATCTCCCACACTTTCTCTTTTTTCAAAGCAGGGTGGGGAGGGACGGGTAATGAGAATTAAATGCAGGGCCTTTACATGGAACTACATTCCCCAGCCCTTTTTAAAATTTTTGAGACAAGATCTTAAGTCACTAAATTGCAATCCTCCTGCTGCAGCCTCCCAGAGTGCTGGGATTACGACCTGCGCCACCACTCCAGGCTTCTTCCTCTTTGATAAAACAAAGCACCCAAACACTAAGGCCTGGGGGAGAACAAAAGTGAGAAAATGCCTCAGGCTTGGTGGCTCTAGACTTTCTCTTAGGTTCCCTGGTCCACCTGGACTTGGACCTTGGGCATCAAAGGGTTAAAACTGAGACCTAATTGGGACTGAAAGGGACAGGAATACCATTGCTATGGAGAGGTGGGGCCACCTGGGTGTGGTTACCATCTCAATGGCACTTTAACACGTCCCTGGGAATCTCCACCCCCCTCCCCTGGCAGGGAAAGAGGTGGGGGAGGGGAACTTTTCCCAAAACACTACCCTAAGAGGAAATGGAGGCTGGGGCTGCTGGGCCTCATCTTAGTCCACACTGTAAAGGACAAAATGACTTTGTTCCCTCTGGGAGAAAGGAGGGCTGGGAGGCTCAGGTTAAGAGGTGTGGAAGTTACTTCACTCCAATTAGAGGGGAAAGGTGTGGCTTAGCGACTGTGGAGGAGAACTACTGGATGAAGCATGGGGGTACACAACTGGATCCCCGAGGGAGGCAGCACTCATTACCCCAGAGGAGCCCAAGGTCCCAGTTTCACAAGGGAAGCTGGCCCCTGGCTCCCAACTACAAAAGGTTGAGATGAGATCTAAAGGTCTTATACTTCCCAAGAGCTCATGACCCCCATCATACCCGCAATAGGGAGCTTGGTCAAGGATACACAAAGAGGTCCAGCCTGCCCAAATCCAGACCTTGACTTCCAACGGGGTCCCCACCTGGTTCCTCAGGGTGCTATTCCCAGCAGGCGGTAAGCCTGAGCTTCTCCCCTGCTCAGCCTCCCTGAACCACCCATTCTCTTTTCCTTGGGGGGAAGATATCTAGACCCGACTACCCTCCACCCTCTCCTTCACTCTCCTCAAATCTAGGTGCCTTGTGCCCTTTGCCCTTGAGGCTGCAGACTGGATTTCCACCCCAGGGCCTTCCCGGGCAAGTCACAACTGCCCAACCACAGGTGTCTCTGGGACTGGTACCGACCTCCAGGACTGTCCCATGTACTTTCTGGGGCACACATCCACACTTTGGGGATCACTATTTTGTCAAGAGCATAAGAGAAGTTTCACTTGTAAACCACAACAGACACTATTGACTGGGTAACAATTAACTTTATTGTCGGCTGTGATCATCAGCTTCCAACCAGCAGCACTTCTGGCTCCCAGAGTCTAAGGGTGGGGTCCCCTGATTAGTGCTATCTTTAAGAGGACACATTCATTGTCCCTCTTGTTTACTCCGCTTCACTTGTTAGCCAATTGCAACTGTACAACTTTTTTTTTTTTCTTCTTTTTTTCTGGTACCGGGGATCAAACTCGGGTCCTTGCACTTTTGAAGCAGGTAGCAGAACCACTGAGCTAAAGTCCCGGCCTGCAACTGCACAACTTAAAGGAGGGTGGGAAAGCAAGTAGGAACTCAGTCAGAATTCAGAAAAGGGGAAAGACAGTCCTTTTATCTTCTTCCTGCGGCAATAAGCTACAGTTAAAGTCTGATGTTTATCAGCTCCTGCCCAAGGGTGCTAGGGTCACGCAATTCCCTAGGTCAGTAAGGGACAAGGTCTAGAACACCGAAAGTTCTGGGAAGACAGGAAGGGAGGTGAGCCAGCCCCACAGGGTAGAGGACACTGCTTATACAGATCAGATGATGGCCCCATAAATGTAAGTGGAACCTGGGGATCTTTGCAAATGCTATTAAATGAAGGATCTCAAGATGTGATCAATTTGGGTTGATAGGCTCCACAACCAATGACAGATGTCTTTGTGATATAGGGGGAATAATACAACTCAACCTGCTAGATGTCAGATACACCGAGTTTATATTCCCCAAAATGGAAGAATGAATTCTAAAGAACAAAAGAGGTTAAGAGTAGGATAAATTTATTGAGAGAGAGATCTCCTGGAGACAGGAGGGGACCTGAAAGTAGGTGATCATGGATCCCACTTCTCAGAGTCAGTTTTGTAGAGCAAAATCACAAAGTGGGTACTACATGAATCAAAACTCTGACTAACCAATAAGATTGTAAGTATAGCTACTTAGG